AAAGAGGAAATGTGACCAAGTGAGGAATCTAACTCGAATAAAAATAGGGTCGTACTTCGAGCGGTGGAGAAAGCTCCGCCAGATTTGGGCATGGGGAAGGCGATACAGATTTAACGGCATCTCAGATCGTCAACCATGCCTTTAAGAAGATAGAGGACTGTCCTATATTAGGGCCAATATGGTGATTTTGTGGCACAGTTGTGACTCAGTTTTGTCAAATTCATCATCCAGCAGAGCTCGTGCCACTGACTGTACCTTCATCTGAGTCCTCGAACCTCAAAGCTCTCTGATTTACCACCGACCAAAGTCCTGCAAACGCCTCACAGGCCGCCAATACTCCGCAGAGACCTCATGACGGGGTCAGGCCTGGTTTGAACCAACGGTGGAAAATAACGATCCATCAGTGTTCTACACTCTCCCAGTCACAGAGTGTGACACAGGACATCTGAATGGACGCATACATCAACATAATAAATGTGGTCAGCCCACTCTCTCATTTATAATACAACACGGCTGTAAATATTGATCAGATCTTATAAATCTCTAATGTCTTTGCCGCTTTTTATGAAGCCGTCGTTGTCAGTCATGGTGGAGGTTTGTGTCGGAGCATTTACCGCTAAAATAACTCCACCAGTCTGGGTTTTAAAGGTGTGTTTCCTCCTATCACACCCCTAAAAGCATTTCTTTCAACTCAAAGTTTACAAAATCTGAGGAAAAAGTGTTTTATTTACCGCAGAGTCAGACTTCTGTGTGCCCTCTGCGATATCAGCGTCACAGAGGACGGCCGTGACTTTCCGTCGGGGCGGGAAAGACGCGTTGAAAAGAGGCAGACGGAGATAATCAGGGTGATCATTCGGGGTCCGCGGGGAAATCAAACTGATCACAGATGTGGGCTAAACAGAGACGTGCCGCTCTGCTGATTGGGACGGGCCTGATTGATTAGCGCCAAGGCCACACACAGGTCACAAAGTCCACAACGCAGAGTGGTCAGGGGGTCTCAACCGTTGGGGTATTTAGACCCGTTAAAACACATAATTGATCTCATCTGTTAGAGCGTGCAAAAATAAAAATATAAGTATAGAATTAAAGAGTTTACACACAAACAACTCAAAGGTTTTAGCAGCTACATTCACTGGACATACAGCCTCCTGAGAGTCAGGATATATCATGTTACTCTCCAATAATCACCCCTAAGAGCCTGAGAGAGGGGGTCCGACTAACTGTTACAAACACGATTATAATCCAGTTAAGTTGACGTAGGGTTTCCGGAAAATTGGTTTAACCGTTTCCTGAGAATCGATCATTTTATCCCCACTGTTAGTTTTGCATTTATCAATAAAACACGGTTAGTTTTGTACTTCTAGATATGGTAGAAGCTACTTAATACTTTATCAACTGACGACATATCTACCTCTAATAACTTGTTCCCCCTCAAAACCTCATTAAAAGACAAAGACAGCGCTTCTCTATAAGTTACGAATTACCTGAAATCTCGCCGACGGACTGGAGCCTCGCTGAAAACCATAAAACGCCGCAACGCACCGCCCGCCTCTCTGACACGAGTGGTAATGAGGTGAATTCCATTATCGGCCCGTAATGTGTGTGAGTGTGCGTAACATAATGAAATGTAACAGGATAAACAGTGGAACCAAAAGAGTGTGACAAGAGGGCTTAAGACGCGGGGTTTGATCCGTGGAGGTTGGAAGGGAGGGAACTGTGTCGGTCGGTGCAGAGGGTGAGACATGGAGAGGAAGTAGATCTAAGGTTCTGTCTGGACGTGTGTGTGTGTTTGTAATGTATTGTATAAATCAGGGGTTTCATCGTCAAAAGATAATTAAATTAAAGCTAAAGAGATGGGAGGAAAACTCCTGTATGAATTTGCATTTTCAATATGCAAGTGTGTGTCTGACCTGTTTTACTGTCTTTGTGGGGACTTCTCTCAATGTTTAAATTATCAGTCATTTGTTGAGTGTGTGTGTCTGTTCTTGTTTTGCTATAATTATGGGGACATTTTAAAATGTTTGTGTTTTGGGGAAATCTTTGGGAAGTGACTCACTTTATTTACAATTTTTTATTCCAACACCCTTTAGGAATGCATGATGAGAATTAACCAATTATAAATATGTTGGTGTGAGTTTTCCCGCCACTTTCAGATGCTACAAATGTCACACAGTTACTTTATGGCTGCATATAGTAAACTATGAAGGAGGATTTGTTGTGTTTTGATAATAAAGCTAACAGCGTGATAGGCTAATACTTATTTTAATTTGTAGTAATTATATAAGTGTGTGTGTGTCCTGATTTTACTGTCAATGTGAGGACATGGATAAGTTTGGGGACTCAGTTTGTTCAGGTCCCAATTTAAAAAAAAAAAAGCTAGTTTGCGGTTGACCATCCCACTTAACAAGTGTATGTGTTTGTTTTAATGTCGATGTGGGGACATATGTAGACTTTCTGTCTTCTGAGGACTTTTTGGAAGTGTGACGGCAATATGGTTTGACTTGTTAAAGCTTTTAAAGCTCCTCTCAGTTTTTGGCAGTTTTGGGGCCTCCTGCGGACAAAGTAGTCTTTATCTTTTCCTTTACATGCTCAAGTATTGTCATCTTGTTGACTTTTATGTCACTTATTTCACATATTTTATCAGAAAATTACAAAAACAGGACAGTTTCTTTACTTCCTTGGCTCTTACAGTTTCCAGGTTGATTTTTTTAAACCATCAAAAATCTCCTCATGGGAGCTTTTACATTAATGCTTAATATTTGCCATATCTGCAACAGTAAGTTTATGGACCATTTGAACATCATTCTGCTTTAATGACAGTTTGCACAACATGCTACTCGCTGTTTTTTAATAACAACATGCGTCAGGAGGTATAAATGTTGTTCCACATGCTGCTTTTTATAATGTTACACAGTAATGAAACATCACAACGGGTGCTCGGTTAAGCTTAGCATTAGCATGGTTAATTACAATTAACTGCCAGCACACAGGGTGTGATTATGCACTTGAAAATGAAAAAGCAACAAGTTTTTTTTGTGTGTTTTTTTTGTCACCTGAGTGAGAAGTAGCACCAGCCTGAGGATTCAGGGACACCGGCTTCACGAGTTGTCAGCTAACATCTGTGCCAACTCGCCATCTTTTCATTCAACCCGCTGACTAATGGTTTAATGTTACTTTACTTCACGTTAAAAACAGATTTTCCCAGAAGAAACATCCAAAACCAAGTCTCAGTTGCTTCATTTTACCGTGTATCAGTCTGGCAAAAAGATGGACACTTGGGTGTAGCGGAAATTTTGTTTTTTTTATGCGGCACAGTGCTTTTTGGCCAAATCCTGACACTCTGCTGGTAGAAAAGGATCTTTGAATTCACCTTCTGTTGTATAAAAGGCCTGCAGAATAAGAAATGCGTCAGTCTGAGCTTGAGTCCGCGCTCTTGTTATCTCTCGCCTCGACTACTTCAACCCCCTCCTGTGCAAGTGTGCCTGCATCTGCCACCCGACCTCTGCAGCTCATCCAGAATGCAGCAGCCGGCCTGGCTGGTTTTCAATTTACCCAAGTTCTCCCACACAACAACACTCCTCCACATCCTGCACTGGCTCCAGGTGATTGTTCAAATCCCTATTCAAGTCGCCGCTACTTACAATCCGCAATACAAATGAGTCAGACTCATCCTACATTCAGATCATGTTTAAAACATGCCACTTACATTGTCAAAACTGTGACTTTAGGACAGCAGAGGCTCTTTGTCACTCTTCTTTTACTGAAAACTCAGGGTTTAGATGAAATACTCGAAACAGTGCTGCAGTTTAAAGGTAACACCCGCCCATTTTAACACATATAAATGTTGTTTTTTGATAAAAGAAGATCCTAAATAGGTAAAAACGTAATTGCGTTTCATGCTCACAGTTCTCATTGGAGGTCTAATCAGGCAGACTAAGTGAAAACACCCGCTGTGATAAGCATTATGTATTTGCCCTTGCAAGCTAAGGCTTCCAATCAATGAAACCACATTGCTATGACAACATGGCAATGAAAGAGCCAGATAAATGACTTCCAACGCTCTACATTCAGTGCATCAGTGCTTTTGTGAGCTGATCCTGCACTTCTGCACGTCCAAGGTTGAACAAGGTGAGCTTGGATGTGGAAGTTCACAGGAGTCAGGGAAAGTTTGCCTAAACAGGAAACTCCTGGAGTCAGTTTTACATTGTTTGGGGACTAATGCTAATGTTGAAATGTATGGTTTATGCATGAGGTTTGGTGTGATGGAATATTTTGCTCATACTGAGAACCTTCTTGAGGACTATTTTTGCTGACTTCCCAGTTTCATTTTTAGAGAGGGTCAAAGGATCTATTTTTGTCAAAGAGAAGAGACGGATTACCATCAGGTGTTTGTCTTTTTCTAAACGGTCTTAAAAATGCATGTTGTAGCTGTTTTTTATGAATCAGAGAGAATTGAAATAACTTCATCAACAGGACATATAGGGTCACAGCCATAGTACTAGACACCAAACATCTTTTTAACTTTGCCTAATTTCTTCAGCAAAGAGTCTAAACTCAACTCACCTACTCTCTTCCAGCAGCTGCTTGTTTGTAGTGAGACCTCAGGACCAGTCCATAACAGACTTCAGCGGAGTTTCGCAGCTCAAGGAAGAACATTTATGATCATTACTTCATGGAAATACAATCAGACCGAGACGCTAAGGCAGAAGAACTACCGCGTCTGCAGTGAAAATGATTATTATGATGATTATTACTTCAAGGAAATGATAAAGAAATGATCATAAATGTTCTTCCTTGAGCTGCGAAACCCCACAGCAGTCCGCAATGGACTGGCCTGAGGTCTCGCTACAAACAAGCGGCTGCTGGAAGAGAGTAGGTGAGTTGTGTTTAGTCTCTTTGCTAAAGAAATCAGGCAACATTAAAAAGATGTTTGGTGTCTAGTACTATGGCTGTGACCCTATATGTCCTGTTGATGAAGTTAGGTGCTGTTCTGAGCATTATTTGTGGCTATAGAGTGGCGTTTTGGTGGAGCGTGTGACTGTGTATTGCTATCGTGCAGTCATTGCTAAAGTTGGTATAACTAGAGAAGCAAGCCGTTGTCAACATTCATCTCTGAAGGGGATGTCTTACTCAGTGTTGCTGTGTATTTGACCCTAAATTAATTTTACGCCAGAATATCCCTTTAAAGACAGTTTTAAAATGCCAATAGTTTTTTCCCTCATTGCGATTAATTGTGATTAACCTTAACAATTATACGATTAGTCGCGGTTTCATTATTCGTTTGATCGCCCTCCTTAGAATAAAAATGTTCTTTTTAGCCACGACTGAACAAAGAAAGAATTTCAGACTCAAAAATTAAAATCTCAAAGACAGAAAAAAGGTAAATTTAATGTTTCTTTCACTCGGAGCTGCAGAGCCGCTTCGCCTCACCACAACCCTCTGAAGCAGCTGCTGCATCTCTATCTGCAGGTGACACCAGCCTCCCGCTGCATGAATAAACACAGAGGAGGAATCATCCTGAATGTTGCCTCTGGCTCTCTCTCTCTCTCTCTCTCTCTCTCTCTCTCTCTCTCTCTCTCTCTCTCTCTCTCTCTGTTTCTTGTATTAATTTGCGCAGAAGCTTCTTTTGAAGGAACATGTTTAAATCTTAAACCCTGTTGAAGCTTCACAATGTGAGGGGATGGAAGTCAACTTGTGGTCGTTGAAGCGAGTCGGAGTCTGCAGCTCTCTCTCTCTCTCTCTCTCTCTCTCTCTCTCTCTCTCTCTCTCTCTCATTGAGGAATCCGTTATCGCCCCTCTCTCTCTCTCTCTCTGCGCTCTGCTCTCCGCTGTGGAAACTTTCCTTAAAAAAAACCTCAAACTAACAACAAAATTTCACTCAGTTTGCTCTTATTTTTCCTGGATCTATACCCGGACTTGCCGTTTTTCCGTTTTCACGTTGGTTCATGACGCGTCTGGTCGCACCCCGGACCGATACGGACACCAGAGCGTGCTCGACGCGTCCGCGCTTTAAGTGAGAGACAGTCTGGCTCCGGCTGGTTCTGACGCGCACCGAACCTGACTGTCCGTTTTTTCCTCCTCTCCTTTAGTTTACGGCTGAAGACAGACCAGGAGCGGGAGGGTCTTTGAGCAGAGGACACGGACTCTGGGAGGAGGATGTATCTGTAAAAGAAGAAGAAGAAGAGGGACATCTCAAAGAGAGAGGGAGTATCGGATGTCTCCACTGGTGAGTGAACCTGCTTCAGTCTTAAAATGAGGAGAAATTGGTGCGCTTTTGTTCGTCTGAAGAGAGGTCGGAGCTCTTGTTGCGGTGATTTGCGGAGGATTTGAAAGTTGGTAACAGCCTAAAAAGACGCACGGGTGAAACTTTGAGGGAATGCAGTTTGGAGGAGTCAAATTAAAATATGATGGATTGATGAGGTTTGGGCGGGCTTGGAGTTGCAGTAGCAGCATGTGTGTGCAGCCTCACTGTGCCAAATATGAATGTGAAAAATGAGCGATGTGTCTCATTTCTGCGCATGGAGCGGTTTGGTGTTATTTGGAAACGCGTTTTTACGCATCCGAGCGTCTGGAGCGCCGTAAAAACGCAACAATAAAGTGATTGTAGGTTCCAAAAACTGCTTCCTCTCCATTGAGCTGAGCGCTATAATTGCATATTATTCATGTCATGTGTTGAAAATGTTCAGTCTTGATAAATAAGCCGTCTACAATCAGAGAGAATCTGCAAATTTTGCGCTAAAGCAATCCTGTTTTCCATCTGTGGAACAAGCGCCTCAGTTTCAGGTGTTCAGACTCGGTTTAATGTCTTGAAAATCTGCTGCAGATGTCTTCGGAGGTGTGTTCAGCTTCTGTTTTCTGCTGCTTTCATTCAGAGAGGGTGTGGCTGCTGCTCGCATGTCCATCCCTGCGCCTCATCCTCGCTCTGTGAAGGATTCAGCTGCACCAAACTGAATTAATTCACCCGGTGCTGCGCTTGAGTGTGATTGTGCGAAGTCCCTTTGTGTGTGTGTGCTAATCCACCGACCTCAGAAAGGAGGATTAAAGCGCGTGGGACATTTTTTTGGGGACTGCCCTTTTCCCCTCCTCGCTCTCTCCTCCGCCTTTCAGTAACACAATCTGAGATAGTGGACATCGATTCCTTCAGTTACACACATGAGGCAGAGCCACAAGTGCAACATTTGGCGGAGGCGTGTGTCCAAAGCGCATGGATGAGCCTGGAGTGCGGGTATTTTTAGTAGACAAGGCTGGCTGGTCCCGCTGATGGGATGTCAAACTGTGACATGTGTCAGCTCGGAGGCTTTGCAGCCGAGTAATTAGCGTGTTATCAAACTGTTACTGTAACACGAGGGCGGGAGGGTTCGGGGCAGTTTAGACGTTAAACTTTGATTTATTCAGGTTTCAAAACAGGAAGTCCAAGAGCAACATCTGACTGCTGAATATTCAGTTATGAATCATAGCAGAATTTCACAACCAAAACTACAAACCTTAGTAGGAAAATGATCTCAATAAACACGACGAATTTAACGGAAACCCCCGAAAAATCTGTTCAATTAAAGCGAAGAAAGTTTAACAACATCTCACCATCTTCTTTTGTGTGTGATTACATTTGTCAAGAAACAGAGGTGGGGGAAAGTCCCTATGTTGCAAGTCCAAGTCGAGTCTCAAGTCTTGGCTCTCAAGTCCAAGGCAAGTCCAAGTCAACACAGACAAGTCCCAAGTCAAGTCCAAGTCCTTTGCTCTCAAGTCTCGTGTCAAGTCCAAGTCAACACAGACAAGTCCCAAGTCAAGTCCAAGTCCTTTGCTCTCAAGTCTCGTGTCAAGTCCAAGTCAACACAGACAAGTCCAAGTCCTGAACTTTTTGTTTCGAGTCCCAACCAAGTCCTAGGAATTTTGCTTCGAGTCCCAACCAAGTCCTTACCGTTTTTTTCAAGTCAAAAACTTAGACAATGTGCACAAAAATAATGAAGACTCAAATACAATTAAACATTAAACTGATTCTCTAATTCACTGTTCCAAAACAAAACAAAAGAGAGACACAAGGCAACACGTGGAAACAGGCGGGGAATACTAGCGAGCGATTTATGTTCAGTCCTCCCGGTGTTGTCGTTTTGAGGGAGGCTAGAGTTTGAGACAGTGTTGCCAAGTTTCGTGAGAGAAATAAGGAAACAGACCTCCAGAAACAAGTCAAAAACAAGCAGACTTGGCAACACAACACGGTGTTACCAACGGACGTAATTCCTGACTGTTAGTTGATGCGACACTTTTCAAACGGTTTGGGCTGTAAGGTATTAAGTGACTTGAAAAGACTTGACTTGACTTTTCAAGTCACTGGGCTCAAGTCAAGTCAAGTCTCAAGTCTTTAGCAATCAAGTCCCAAGCGAGTCCAAGTCATTTCTTGATTTCATCAAACAAGTCAAAAACGGGACTCAAGTCCAAGTCGAGTCTCGAGTCGAGTCGTCGAGCCCCCACCTCTGGTTTTACCACATCATGAGTTGAGTGAATAGTAGGAGTCCCAAAAATGGCGAACAGCGAACAGGTATTCAAGTGTAAAACCATAAACACGTATAAATACGAGTACAGGAGCTCAAACATCTGTTTCATTTTCCTTCCACCTCTTTACAAAAATTGGGATAATCCTGATTTACGGAGGAGGACCTTATGTTTACTGAGGACCGAACAGCATGTACCGCTTTCACAACTTCCTCCCACCATCCCTCACTACGCTGAAAAACCAGCTCTTCTTTGTTGGATCTCAAACGTAAGCGAGCTTTCTTCTAAACGCTGAGGGGGCGGGGAGGGAAAACTAGAAAAATACTGAGTAACCAAACAAACAACTTGTAAATATCTGACAAAGTGACAAAACTGTAAAAAAATACAAAATTGATTCAAGTTAACACAACTTTTTATGCCACAGTTTCGCCGTGTTGAAAAAGTAGATATTTCTAGATGTTTCTCTCTTGGTTTCGGTTCAAAGAAGAAGTTCGATTTTACATGATTTACTGGCATGAAAAAGGAAAGCAAAGTCCAACTTCTTAGCTCCGCTCCGTCTCTTCATCCTCGCTTCTTCCCCTCGATCTTGCCTCACTTTGTTCGCGCCACGCTACCGAGAGCAAACCTTCAATTCCCGCTCCTCATCAAAGGCTCGCTCTCCCCCTTTAAAAATCCAGGTGCTCCCTCATCGGTATTCTCGACATGCCGCTCGCAATTTCTCTGAATAAATCTGCTTTTGGGGGGCCGTTTTGGGGTTTCTGCTCGGCATATCATTTCATTCATCACCGCTTTTCCATCATGGTCCTGCTTACAAAGCTGGAATCAGTGAAAATCATGGAAATATGAAACGATTGAACTGCAGTCTCTCTCTCTTTTTCTACTCGCACTTTTCACGCCGGAGTGTGTGCGTGGAAAAATCGACGCCAAGCTCACAGATAAGGGTTTGAAATCTGCGGGGTTATCAATAAAGGCTGTTTTATGTATAAGGTAAATGGAAATATCAGCTTTTGAGAGACTGTGGATGTTAGATAAGACGGCAGACGGCGTGGTCAGACACGGATCTATAAACACACTCAGGAGAAACGCCACATCTCTCCATCACTCAGCGTCAGTCAGAGTGGATCACAGGGCTCGACTTATCGCCGCTCACTGTTTTGTTTTCTTCCTGAACGGGAAAAAAAGAAAAAAAAACAATCTAAAGGACAGAGTCGCGCTGAACGGCGGGGCCGCACAGCGAGAACAATAGGAGTAGAGGAGGAGATTCGAGCGCCGGAATCCAGAAGGGAAATAGATTTAGAGGGAGAGCCTCGTAGCTCAAGGGCTGAAATGAAATGTGATTGTGTCGTGTGTGGGCTTGAGGGCGTGTGTGTGCGCGAACGCCACTGAAAGCATTCACATGGAGAATTCTCATGGCGGTGAACATGGCAGTGGGGTCTGTAGCTCATTTTTTTAAGGGTCCATGTGGGGTGGAAGCGAATTCAAAGTATCCTCTGAATAGAAACCATAGACTATATATACTATGGACAACTTGGTCCCACCTTCAGTACACGGATTCGAAGCCGAAAAGTTCTGGGTAATTCTGCGTTTTTTTCTCAATTTCCTGAAACCAACATTGCGCAGTAGCGTTGTACGACCTCCACCACTTGCGTAGTAGTAGCAGCATTGTGCGCATTTGGCAGGAGAGTCGCCAAGAGTCACTGTGATGACGTTCGGCTCATTGCACACAATCCTTGTATGCCCATTGGCTGGATCAGGTGTCAATCATAGAAAACATGAACCCCCTAGCTTAGCTTCTCGATTCTTCAGTTTACGTCGTGGTTTCTCTTAAAGTCTTCATTTTGAATTTCGTCTGCGGGATGTTTACCAAACATGTCTTGTTGTCATGTTTCCAGAAACAGATTCCATATTTCTAAGTTTATGCCTCACATTTTACATTGTTGCCATGGATACGTTTGTTAGCTTACTTCCTTATTGGCTACCAAGACGAAACGCCTGCGAGGGTGTGATCCCCCACACGAGAGATTTCTGATTGTAAACGTTGAAGAGGTTCGATTTTAAGTCCAGGGGGCTTCGATCGTCTTCCATTCAGATCGGAGGGACTAACACACCTCAGACAAGATAATCTGGGAGGATAGTCTTGACAACACTCCGATAATCTGGACTGACTTTTGTTGGAAAGGCTAAGCGGGTCCAAAACATGTCAATTTCAGTGACGGTTCACAGTATTCAACTTTTACATGTATCAGGATCAAATTTTAAACCTAGAACTTAAACAGAATCTAACTCGACTTATATGTATATATCTCAGTTCTTAGTTTTCTATCTCTGCAGGGACTTGTGTTTATTCTTCGACCTGGTGAGGACCTTTTTTCTTGTGATAAATGACAGGTTTTGGCTTTTCCTCTCAAGCTCTCTTTATTTATTCCTTCTCCCTTGTACAATTCATGAATGCCTTTGACCTTTGATGGCGTGCTCTTTCATCCCATTGGTACGATTCACTAGATTTCAGTTCTGCTTGTTGCGGAGGACACTTAGCCACATCTTCAAGTGGAAATAAATACCTTGAGACGTAAACCTGTTATGCTAACTTGAATCTCGATGATCTACGAGCACACTGAAGTCGTTTTCATGGTCGTTAGATGTATCCTGGACATGTCAAGCATGGAAAAAAAACAAACATAGGTGTGTTTGTTGATACTGCCTCTGTTGCCTCTGGCTGAGCGATTATCAGTTGTCCAAAACTACGACCACCACCATCCCAACATCCTACAACATGTTGGACTTTGGTGACTCATCAATCCCTCAAGCTGCTTCTGTTTTCCTCCCTTTAAATTGGAAACAGAGATAAACGTAAAGGCTCATAACTGAGATCTTTGTTGTGACGTCAGGGGACAGTCTCAGGTGTGTGAATTGGGATTTCCCAGCGGTGACTGCTTTGGGATGATTGAATATAATCTAAATAATCAAGATATGAATCAATGTCCCATTTTTGTCTCTAAAAAGCTCATTGCACGCTCTCTTCTCTATTAAAATATGAAAATCTGAAGTGTTAGGCTGCGGTGAATCAGCCGAATCAGTTAATCAAACGCCTCCAGTCGGAAAAAGACGATCTTTTACATGAGCAATGAGCCCCGTTTGAAAATAAGATATCAAACTTTAGAAAATTCACTGTTGACATTCACCAAATGTTGGCTCTAAATCAATCTGGAAAGTAAAGTCATGGAGGCCCTCTAAATGAGAGGAGAAACTATCTTTTTATTAGCCGCAGTCATCTGTGGTCTTTAAATATTGATCGGGGAACATCTTTTTTATTCTTTTAGGAAATGGAAATTGCCTGTAGTGCTTTGAAATAAAAGCTATTTCCTCTACAATGACTGAGAATGGACGCTGAGAACAAAAAGAGAAAAGTGCCAGAATAGTTTTCTCTTTTCTTTTGGTGGCAGATTTTAGAGGTGCAGAGAGTTGGTACTTGGATGTTGAATTATGTCTTTATGTCTCTGCTTTGGTTTCTGTAGTTTAGAGGATGGGATTGTTGTCATAGTAACAGGCTGAAAGAAGCCAGTTGACTGGGTCACTTATTATACCATAACACTTACATCATGGTATCAAATGCTGCATTCCAGTGACGTTGGAAGTTCGATGTCAGTGCTGGGAATGACATTGCACCTGACTTGACGGAAGTTGGAAAAAACCAAGATGGACATCTACTGTTAGTCGTTGTTAGCTGTCGTTTACAATTGATAGCTGTTGTTAGCCATTGTCAGCTGTTGTTAGTTGTTGTTAGCTATACCAGTTGTAAACAACGCATAACACAGTATTTTATTCTTACAAACATCATAGCACCGTGTTCACAGTTAGACGTTTGGTGGTATAACATATGTCACTTGTTTAATTTCATTAACCAAAACAGAAGTGCCAATCAATAAAACATTACGAGAGCTTTCACTGTTACTATTTATTGTTGATGCACTGTGCTGCCATCTTGGATTATGACGTTGTCGTCAAGTTGGGGTTGGTGAGGATTGTCAAACTTTCTGAGTCAGAAATCTAACTTCAGGGGCCGATCCAGATGAATTTCCGACTTCCGAGTACAACTGGAACACAGCAATACTGTCAGATCCATGATTTCAAAATGTAATGCTAAACGTTTGCAATCGTTGCCATGGCTACATTTGTCGCACTTCCTTCTTTAGTCACATTTCTTCCTGATTGGCCATCGTTTTGTTCCACATGACTCAGGATTCGGGTCGCGACTACACTTTGGTATCTTTTGACAAACAGGGGGAATCAGGCCTCAAACTGTCTGGATTACAGGGCTGGGCGATATGGCGACCATAGCCTACCTACACACATACAAAACCAACTTTCATTTATTTATCTTTTTGACACCAAATATATTGACATGGGCAAAACTGACGTTGGTTATTTCGGTATTAGTAAATTTTTGGTTTATCGCCCAGCCCTACGGGATTATCTTGTAGAGTAGGCTGTGACCAGAGCTAGTTTGACAATTCAACCCAAAACATTGTAACAATACATGATGATGATGACATGGTCTTGACAGGAGGCGTAATATTCAAAAAGCTGTTTAAACATCCTCATCCCTCCTGGATTTGTTGGTTCAAATGAAAGGAAAATTGCTCTTCGGCTCTTTTAGGACTCGACAAAGACTCGTGTTAGCTTCCCCTTTGCCTGTGGAGGAATTTTCCTGCTGAAATGCATTAATGCATTCATCCTGCACTCCCTCCGATTGTGTCATTGATTCGCTGTGTGGTCTTACAGCCAACTTGGCTCTCATTTTCCCTGCAGAGGTTTTCCTTTTTGTGTCCTGTTGCATTGTTAGATTTTATTACAAATCTTCATGCCCTCTTGGGGGATTTTGTGTCTGCTTTCGCCCTGAGTATAACTTTATCTTTGTAAAAGGTAAAGAAGATCAATGGTTTCCACACTCTTACAGCAGCAATCTTTTTTCAATAAGCAAAAAGAAATTAAAACAGATTTTCAAACCGTTTTTTCCACAGAGAGCTGAAAAGTAAGAATGCTTTAAAAGCTGACTGAGCCGGCTGAATCTTCTCTTCTTTGCCTTGAACTCTCTACTTCAAACTTTTCTTTTACCGAGTCACCCTCTCCTCCCTTTCAGTATTATCAGACTTATTTTGCGTCAGCACAGTGCACTAAAACGACTGAATAGTTGCAGCAGAGTGTTCGTTAGCGGCGCGAATAAAGGACTCTTAACACTGAGGAGACCTTCAGTTAAAGGAACGCGGAGCCGAGCCAGACACGATCTACAGTGCATACATAGTCAAATCATTTCACCGCTTTATCACCGAGACCTTGAAAGGTTTCCTGCTTTCAGCCGCTGGGGTTAGAAAGGTGTATCTGCATGAGAAAACAATACGACATAAACCGAGAGAGAAACTGTCGGATTAAGGGAAGAAAGAGAGGCACGATTTTTTTAAAAATTAGAAAGAGATTAAAAAATCGGACTGTTGAGGTAGTTTGTTATGAGGATCAGATAATACATACCTCTCAGTCTGGTAATTGAAATCACAAGGTCAACAGTGGAGGTTATAATCCATTATAATCCAGATTTACTCTTTCTATGTATGGATGTAAATACCCTACTGATTTGGCACAATCCTTTTTTCATTTGTTAATATTCAACCTGGCGCCTTGAAACATCCTATAGGGAACAACTGAAGGCATTACTGTAAATAAATATAGATATGCCTGCATAACCATCTGCGCCGTGATAGAGCAAGGGCAGGCCATACATCATGAGAGACGTGATAGATTATTAAGTGCACTCAGCATTAACAGCTTTTCTGCATGATTGCACTAAAGTTAAATGCAGAGAAGGGCATTTACTTGATATACTAACCCTGGAAAGATCAATTCTATATGAAATAACACGTAATCTATTAAGATTATATAATGAGTAATGACTCTTTTTTTCTGCAACATCAGCGTTATATCTAAGTAATGTGAGGAAAAAATACAACCTTGTACTGAGGACTATTCGACTGTGATTTTAGAGGATCAGCAGCATCTTCATTGAAAGCGCCTGAGGTCAGCACCCCCCTGTGGATGGAGCAGGATGGATTATCTATATGCTGATCTGCGAGAGATGCTTTATTCCCGACTGAAGTCGCCTTCTTTGTGTTTTTCAAATGTCTAACCTGAAAGTCACAGTGAGTTTTTGGTTTGTGGATCACAAAGAACGATAGAGAAATACAACCCCACTTTCAAAAAAGGTGGTATGCCATATGAAATAGGAATAAAACCAAATTGGATGGTTTGCAAATCCTTGGAATTCCACTTTTGGATTGGAATTAGTAAAATGACGACATATCAACTGTTAAAACCGAATTTATTACTATTTCTTTGGCTTTTATTGATAGGACAGGAGGGCGGCACAGTGGTGTAGTGGTTGGCACTGTCGTCTTACAGCAAGAAGGTCCTGGGTTCGAATCCGGGTCAGGGCGTTTCTGTGTGGAGTTGGCATGTTCTCTCTGTGTCTGTGTGGGTTTACTCCAGGTACTCCGGTTTCCTCCCACATCCCCAAAACATGCCTAAGTGGGGTTAGGTTAACTGGCCACTTTCAAATTGCCTGTAGGTGTGAATGTGAGCGTGGATGATTGTGCGTTTCTATATGTCAGCCCTGTGATGAACTGGCGACTTGTCCAGGGACTTGTCCCCTGCCTTCACCCGAAGATTCCCGGGAACAGGAATAAGCGGTAGAAAATGGATGATAGGACAGGGTGAAATGTAGGGAGATAGAGAAAGAGGCGACGGAGGACACGCAGCACATGGTCAAGGCCGGACTTGAATCCACGACTGCTGCGGGGACTGTGGTCCTTATACATGGGGCACGCTTACCCCCCATGCCATCTTCACACCTCTGACAATGGAAGTTATTTTCAGCCTATGTGGTTACTTCCACTCCAGAGTCATGTCTGTTTCAAAAAAGTTTAGACAGGGACAACAAAACACTGAAATTCCTTGATCGGTTTTGGGCTATATTTATTTGCAAACCGTCCAAATCTGAATCCAAATAGCCTTCTTAATACGTTTGATCTCTCCAGATCGTCTTTGAAACCAAACATAAAGCTCTTTAGTGTGAAAAGGAACTAGACAGCTTAATAATTTAAACGTTTCTGAGCCATGAGCTGACTTTTTTTCTGCCTCTTTAGAACAAGACGACCCTCGTTTGAACAGAAAACCTCTAACGTCATGAGATAGCCTTAATTAAAACCTGATTCTTTCATGTTTTCTGGTCCAGTGCAAACGTTTTCAGCAGACAGACGATTGTAATCTGGGAGATGCTTGTAACATGAAAAGGAGATATGGTTACCTTGGTGTTAAATCTTGTTGTGCTGTTAAAATATGATTACCAGGATGTTTTCTAATAAAAAAAGCCAACATATAAGATATCCTCCCACATAGGTATGCTGCTGCTCCCTGGAGCCTCCTTTGAAATCATATGGAAGAGCGAGGTATGGCTCTTTGTAGATTTACTTCAACACTATCTGGTCTTAAGGTTTTTCCCCAATTTCTGTCCTGTTGAGACCTTTCACTAGAAGGAGGCTTAAAGGGAAACAGGAAGGGTTTGTAATAAAAGAGAAGTAAAAGGTGAGGTAGAGAGGGTTTGATGCATGCTTCCTGTTCGGGTTACAGGTGGAGGACAACAGGGTCAATAATCTAATGACATAATGGCCACTTACGGTGAAGCGAGTGTGCGCTTAGATAAGAGCTCCCGCTATAAATAGATAAGATACAAGTGCCGTGGCATGTCGGGGATCAAGGATGTCACTAATGTTGGTGTTGAGATCAAAAAGTGTGTATCCAGGATTAGTCGAAGTGTCACACCCTCAAGTTACACAAGGGGATAAAAATTTTAATACGGCTCGTAACATCCTCATATAACACAGGAATCATAAAGGAGGTGTCAGTTGGAGCTTCAACTCTTGTTCAGTGAAAATATAAGTAGACTTCAACAGTGTAAAAGAATTTGAAAAAAACTCATAATCTGTACAAACAAAAACTTTAGCATTTACTCCTAAATTCGTTTCTGTGTGGGCGGGGCCTAACGTTGGGCTAATCAAGAAACCGGCACATTGAAAATCCAATCCCTCTCCGTCAGAGGCCTGGTTGTCCATTCAGAAACCTTTTCTTGAGCATGTGCAGAGCGCTTGGGACAGTTTAGGTTGATGGGAAGTTGAATCAACCTGCTAAGCCAATCAGCTTCTTAGATTGGCAATGTTATCTGGAACATGAACGTTGGATGAGGCGGTGACAAACCAGGTTGGATAAAGCCAGATCCCAGGCACACATGTGTGTCTTTGTCGTATGCAGTGTTGCAGGGAAGTGTTGCAGAACAACATCCATCAGCCAGGCGGTGTCTCTGCAGTCACACCGCTGCTGAATACCCAAGTGATTCGTGGTCGTATGTTGCAGTATGTTGATCATGACAGCTCCGCTCTGCATTGGGATTCCCCTCGGACCGTAATCTCAGCCAGCAGACTCCCCGGCTGTAAATCCCTGAGTGTGTTTCCTGCACACTAGACACATGAAGAATCACTCACAGAAAAAGTTTGTGACCGTCACCGAACATCGCGGCTGTGACAGACGCCGTCACGCACCTGTGCACACGCAGACAGGCGCGCATAATTGTCGCCTGCACTGTTAGCTTCTCGGTTTGGCTGCACACAGTAAGACACTCACAAACAGTTTGCCACATTCCCAGCGATTCCCGGGAGGTTCCTGGGAGGTTTCCATCAGAAGAAAGGATTGGCCTTGCACCTGTCAACTCTGCGCCGGTGTGTGCATGTGTGTCAGCGCGCTGGCTAAGCAGCATGGAGGATTCCCACAAATCCCTGATGTCATTTATCAAGTACTGGAGGAAATAAATGAGCAGAAACACACGGGCGTGGACACACGCTGTTAGCATGTCGCATAAATTCAATTAAAAATCAGGGAAAAATCTGCATCACATGGAAAACAGATCAGATCTGATGGTTTTCTGACCAATGAGAGCTTGTTTTACTGAGAACAGCACGTGTTTCTAAACGTTCACACTCAATCTTGAATATATTCCTCCAGCTTGGACGCCTCCCCTGCTTCCAGGTCGTCTCCTCATGTTCTACCCAGGATTCCTCACCTTCTCGCCTCCTTTTCTACACGCACCTTCTTTCTTTTCTTCCATCCAGTCCTGATGTTTTCGGACGCCCTCTTTCTCCATCTCTTTCCTCCATGCTCCATCTATTCCGTCTCTTTTCACTCCCTCATCGCCTCCTTCTTCATCCTTATCTCCACCTGCCTCATTTCTTTCCGCTCTTCACCTTTCTCTCCTTCCCTCACTGTAAAGGCCCCTCAATCTTTCATGCACTCCATAACATTTTTCTGTCCCTCTTCTAACCATATTTTTTATTGCATTTTCTCTCTATTTGTGCCCTCTCTCCATCCCCTCTCTCGCCTTTCTTCCTCTTTTCCTGTTGGGGGTTTTCTTGCTGTTTTTACTTGCTTTCCTGGATGCTGTTTTTCTGTTTGTTTTTTCTCCCTGCAGTCCTTCTTTCATTCGTTTAATCCTTTTTTATAGTTTTCTCTTTTTTATCCTCCTCTCCTTGCTTTCTGGCCTGTGCTTAGGGATAGGGGTCTTTCGAAACTCGAAAATCAATCATAATGTTACTTTAACGACACATGGCATCTATGTTTAAATGTAATTAAGGTGAGACATGATTACATTGTGAGATGTTCAAGGTCGGGTCGGAAAACCGAGAATTGGGCGAAAGTAGATGATGCGCTACGTTGTGTTTAATGTCACGTCCAAAAACAATGAAAAATTTGTTTTTGTTGAAAAAATACTGTTTCGATTAAGACTTGGATTATTAAAGGGATATTACGGCGTAAAGTTAATTTAGGGTCAAACACACTGTAACACTGAGTTAGACACCCCCTCAAGAGATGAATGTTGCCGACCGCTTGTTTCTGTAGTTATACTAACTTTAGTAACGACCGCACGATACCTCAGGCCAGTCCATTATGGACTGCAGCGGGGTTTCGCAGCTCAAAGAAGAACATTTATGATCATTTTTTATCATTTCCTTGAAGTAATAATCACCATATTAATCATTTTGCACTGCAGACATGGTAGTTCTTCTGCCTTAGCGTCTCGGTCTGATTGCATTTCCATGAAGAAATGATCATAAATGTTCTTCCTTGAGCTGCGAAACTCCGCTGTAGTCCCCAATGGACTACAGCGAGGTCTCGCTACAAACAAGCGGCTGTTGATGAAGTTCGGTGCTGTTCTGAGAATTATTTGTGGCGTTTTGGTTGACATTTGTTTATGGCTCCTCAGACCGCTGTGTATTGCTATCGTGCGGTTGTTACTAAAGTCGGTATAACTAGAGAAGCAAGCGGTCGGCAAAATTCATCTCTCAAGGGGGTGTCTAACTTGGTGTAACAGTGTTTGACCCTAAATTGATTTTTACACCGGAATATCCCTTTAAAGAGTCTCTGTAAGAGTCTTGAGTCCTATTCTGGATGGACTTGAGCACTGATACCTGGACTTGTACCGAGGTTTGTAGACTGTCTGGACTTGGACTAATTTAATGAGACCGCGTGAATGGCCTTGATCAGTAATCTAGGTATAAGAACGCCTGGAAGAAAACCAGAGAGGCACAGAATCCAGTCTGTAGTTTCCACAGTCTGTGATGGTTTGGGTTGACGGATCATCTACTGGAAGTCAACCATCGGGATTCTGGAGCACTTAAAGCTCCCGTCTAATGTCAGGCTTTATGGAGAGGCTGATTTCTTTTACAAGCAGGATTTCACACCTGCCCACAGCACCAGAACTACCACCAAATGGATCCCTCAGAGATTCTGCAGCAGATTTGTGAAGAGGACGATGGGAACCACTCAACCACATTGATGCTACTGGTCTCCTTCTTTCTTAATCATCCTCACAGCAAGAGGCAATCCCTTCGTCTTTCCATCCATGGAGGATCATCCTCTTCTTCCATCTCACCTCTCATCTGTTTTTTCTCCCTCCTCTGTTGTTTTTCGGTTTTATCCCCCCCGCAGTTCTGTCATCTATCCCCCGCTGTCTTCCCTCTTTTGTCTCTTAGTCCCTCCCTAAATCTTTTTCTTCCGTCTCCTGCTGCCTCCTGGTTACCCCCTACTTTCAACCAAGCTCTCTTTCATCTTTGTTTTGCTCTTTTTTTCCATCTTCGGTCTATCCTTCTTATTCCTTGTCTTTCACCATTTTTCCGTTTCCACCTTCTCTTTTATTCTCCCCGCCACTCCTCTTCCCTCCTAAGAAGTGGTCTTTCAGGGTGACTGTGCGCGATACGGTTGCTACATTCACACACAGCGCTCTCACACTCCTCACACTCTTGCTCACAAACTCTCTGGGTAGTCTTCACTTTGAAGGTGATGTACTTTAGGGATTTGTCTCCTTCTCAGCTCCCTGACAGTTTGGCAGCACATACGGTGGTCCGAGTGTGTATATGTGTGTGTTTCAGGTGCAGCTTTCCAGCTAAAGTATTCCTTCACTTGTCAGTTTATCAACTCATGACTCCTTCACACTCTCTATTTCAATCTCACACACACTCATTAAAGTGTGTGGCTCATGGCGCGGAAAACCGGGCTAAGCCTGCAGGTTTAGAGGGCTTCAGATCATGTCAGCAGCACATGTGACCTCCTGTAGTGAGTGTAGGACATAATATCTGAACGTCATTAAAAAACCCGAAGATTCTTGACATTACTAATTGGCAGGTTGGGATCAGTGCTGTCTTTGGCCTCTGTACTGTGTAGTTACCAGCCTCTGCATTGGTTTGGCTTTAACAGGAAAGTTAGTTTCAGCAACAGAAAAATAGCAGGAAGCAATATCAACGTTCGCATTTGTTGTTTGTGTCAATCGCAGACTGAAAATCTTGACGATGGTGTTTTGGCTCGCAGGATTTAGACCCAAAGGATTTAATAAAGGAGTGCAGTTTCTGAGTCCGACAAGTTTCTTCCAAGGACCATAACGTGTGTCATCAAGCATCACATCGTATTGTATGGTATTATGTCGTATAACAAAGTGCCAAACTAAGCGCTGTCGTATCGTAATGTAACTCATTTTATTATTTGATACCATAGCATATCAATTTACACTGTCCAAAATCATATCGTATCATATTATATTATACCGCATTATGTTGTATCAAACTGTATCGTATTGTATCATATCTGTTGTTTTGAATTGTGTCGTATCGTATTATTTTATATTGTATCTGACGTATCGTATCATATCTGACGTATTGTATCATATCGTATCGTGTCGTGTTTGACTTATTGTATGTATCATTTTGTATCATATTGTGTCGTACCTGATGTATCGAATTGTATCGCATTCTGTTGTATCTGACCTATCAAATCGTATCGTTTTGTATCATATCTGTCATATCGTATTGTGTCGTATCTGACACATCGAATCTGACGCATCGTATCGTATCTGACCTATCCTATTGTATCGTACATCATATAGTGTCATATCTGACATATTGTATCATATCACATCGTATCATATTGTATCGTATTGTGTCATCTGATGTATTGTATCAGATCTTAGGTATTACATCGAATTGTATCGTATCCTATTGTATCGTGTCATATCTGACGTCTCATATGTAACAAATCATATCATACGATTTTATGTTGTACTGGCCCTAATCAAATTTTTTCGGATTGTACTGCTAACTCCACTATGCTATGGTTTTGTATCGTAGTGTATCGTATGCTAAAAGTTTGATTAGCTTCTTTAGAAGTTGAACAAAATGGGACTTTCAAAACTACATAATTTAAAGTGAATTTTTGTCACAAATTACACAGTAGATGAGAAATTTAACATGAAATTCCTCTGTGCGGACTAGTTTTGTAAATGAGTAGTTATATAAATGTATCGTCTTTAACCTCTATGACTTAGATGGTCCAAAACGATCAAAGTAATTAAATGTATTAAGTTGAATGAGTTTTCTTTAACCAGCAAACACTTAATGAGCTTTCAGAATTTGTACACACTGCTTAAATGAACAGAGACGTGCTGAATCACAAATTAATATTGATGGATGAATTTGTTGTGTAGCTGCTGTTTATCACATTGGTGGTAAGTGGCTCTTTGACTGTGTGTATGAAGGCCCTTAGTGTGTAATTCATGTACAATTGCAAAACAACAAATACATACTCCAAACACTCTGTTTGTCTCAGCGGGAGATGAATATTTCCAGACTCTAACACTTCTATGAATAATTAATCGAGTGAAATAGCCTCAAAGACAAACAAAAATCATGGATTAGTTTGTTTTTTTTCCTTTTTTGGAGTTTTGTAATTCTCTTTTTGTAAGTCAGCCAGCTGACAGAGGATGTCCCTTTTGTCTTCACACATCACAAACCAGAAGGCATAACCTTGTGCAGCAGACTGCCAAAGATCTAAAGCTGGAGCTGAATCTTCCTAAGCCCCTCCAGATACAGTCGGGGCTTTCGCTCTACTCTGGCAGGGATCCAGATGCAGAGGGGATTTGACTTGAGGATATTAGCCGGCTCTGCTTTACCGGGCGCATTCAATCAAATCTTTAAAAAAAAAAAAACAGGAGCCGCTGGGAGAAGCTATTTCTTGATGTTTGAGACAAGACAGTAAATCAGGTAGCTATAATACGGATTAATGAAAGGTTAAACCGGTAATCCAACATGCAAGTTAAACGATATCCAGGGACAATGTCTGCGCATAATTGCCTTTTTTCTGTAATTGCCTTTTGCACCAACAAGGCTGTACTCAAGTTTTTGGCGAGTAAACAAAAGCGACAGAAGAATTAAAAGGGAAAATCCATCCAACCCTCCTCCTCACGCTGTGTTAATTATATCATTTCTCCATTTTGGCTTTTTCTTTTGTTGTTTTGTCGCAGCCCCATTTCAGTAAGAGTTGGACGCTCTGTTAAATGTCAATAAAACAGAAGTTGATTGTTTCCAGATCCCGTTAAACTTCTGCTCGAAAAGAAAGTGAGAAGAAAACATCAAACGTCAAAACTGATAACACTTTGAAACCGTTTGGTGACTGTTTCTAGAAATTTGAAAGTTAAACCCCTGGTCGTGTTTGTGGTCTCTATTCAGGGGCAAGAGAAAACAATCTACTATTTGAGCTGGTTACTTCTTTAGTGTTTCAGGAATGGAAAGGGCCAGTGGGAACCCTGCCAGTGGACGAAAACGTCAATACTCTATGTAACGCTGTCCACATTGATCGATGAGTTTGGCTGGAAGTTAAAGCCAGATCCTCGGCACTCTCATGTCTTTTGCTGAAATCCCTGACCTGCTGCCAACTTTCCCACAATGCTCCTGGGTATTGTTCAGTGCTCCCACAGGACTCAGATACACAAGCATGTGAGAGGGTGTTTTTGTTTGTGTGTGCTGATAGTGATGTCGGTCATCCATCTTCCTGTCCGTGCTGTCTAGACATGTTTTCTCCCTGTGACATTGGCCAAAAATGCGTCTTTCAGAAAACACGCACGGCTGAACCTAAAGCTCCTCTTTGACGGGCGGAATCAGACGGGGTAAGATCTGGTAGACCGCACATGGGAGCGCCACCTTACTCAGAATTAGCCCAGCTTTAATGTCAACAAGCAGCTTCCTCAGCAAAAACAAGACCTGGCAATCATCTCAAATTGGCAATCATCGCTCTGATGTGTGAAACGTTGGCGCAACAACTGAGTGATCTCCAAAGAGGCCTAATCTCATCATTGGCACAATGGCAGGTGGATCGAGGAAGACGCATTGCCAAGAAAACCATATGGGTACTCAAGGCGGACAAGCCAAAAATGTTCTTTATCACATCTACTGTAGCGGCATTTTCCGACAGTATTCCAGTTATTTTAAGTGCTTCTCTTGGCTGGATGTTAAAGATACTGGGAGGAAAATAGAGCTGGTTACGGATGTGTCAGTTTCCCGTGGTGTGAGGAACTCCATCTCACATTTGCTCTTTTCCTTTGCTTGACAACTACCGGCAAATCCACTGTCTCCATCGCTCGGTAATCTCCGAGATTTAGAAACGTGTTTGTTCAGCGTGCACAGTTTGCTCTTCCACACTTGGTCACCGAAGAATTAAGTTCTTAGCGTGCCATACGACCTCCATCTTGGTTTACATCCAAAACAAGCTTCCTCCCACTCCCGCGCAAGTTAACAGATGTCAGATCTGTTTGCTAAAGGCAAAGACTGATACTGGATTATACCGTTGAGCTGATTACAGTTATAATTTGGGTGTGACGGATGATAGGGCCAAGATTGACTGAGTCTGCTCTAGTCTGAGCCAATTGTTGGAGGGATTTTAGTCATTTGCCCTCAGATCTAAATGAAGCCTATTATTCTGTTTCCGTACGGTTAAAATGTACAACACTGACAACTGAAATAAGCATAATTAGTCTGTAAATGAGAGGAACCTATAAGCTAACTTTTTAGCTTAACAGATAAGAGGAAATTTATGAATTATCCTCCGCTGCATGAGGTGGTAAACTAAACTTTTGAGGTTGCGGCATCTCTCAAACAGGTGCAGTGAGTTCAATCGTGTCGGAACACCTATGATGCGTTCATGAATATAGGACAAATTCACCGTAAAACACAGTATAACTGAACGGTATTGCAAATGCAAAAGGTAACGCTTTCTTTTACGGTACACTTATTACCAGGTAATTAACAGGTAATTACCTAGTAACAACATGAAATTATCTGGTAATTACATGATAACTACAAAGTCAATACTGTCTAGTTTTTCTTTTTTCTGTGCAGCTCCATTTTCAAAAGCTATTTGGGGTTCATGTTTTCTATGATTGACACTTGATACAGCCTATCGGCGTGCAAAGATTGCGTAGCGATACGCTGTTTGAGCTGAGCATTATCACAGCGACTACCCGCCGAATACGTACAATGCTACTGTGCATACCAGAGCAATTCGGCTTCAAATTTGTATGATGATGGAAGCTTACCTACCTGGTAGCTAGACAGTAGTGACTTAGTAGTTATCATGTAATTTCTAGGTAATTACTAGGTAGTTACCTGTTAATTACCTGGTAATAAGTGTACCGTAAAAGAAAGGGTTATGGAGTGTTGCAAGGAGCCCATGGCCCCTGTGCGGCCGAAACAGCCGACCATTCAGTCCGCTTCCTCTAGCACAACGCCTTACGACAAAACGTCAGAGACACAAAGACCTCACAGATGCAGTAGTTTATTGTACTGCAAAAGACATGCTCTCAATAAGCACAGTTTTAAAAAAAGATTTTAATATCGTGATATATCGACTGATATCGGATCAGTCCGATATCCTGATGGACCCATTGCCTCAGTGGATCAGGACTGTGTCTCCTGTTTACATAGGGTATAATTTACTCCACTCTGGTGTTAACATGCTGAGATGTTGACCCTTGGTAGCATCTTCTTGTGTGGATTCGTAGCTTGTTTTATGATATGAAAATACTCTAAAGGACTCTAGTTTTCCAACGGGGTTGGCAGCACTTCTGTTTGAGGCAACACGGGCCCATCACAGGCTTCGGTCATGATGCTGTGTCTTTGGTTCGGTGCAGTTAGTTCAGAATCGAAGAAGCTTTCCAGAGAAGAGAAAAACACTTTCAAGTATTTTGCATAAAACCTTAAATAGCCATTACCTGAATGACTGAGAACCTCGCCTGTTTTATTAGCTGTGGTAATGCACCATGAAACCTCTCTCAGTTTTACAATGATTACTAAACAATATATACAAAAAGATGAATCCTGCTCACTGAAGCAGCAGACTAAACAGCATATAGACCTGAACTAATATCGAAGTGGTGCTTTGAATGAGAGGAGAATGGG